TTTATTCTAACTTGTTTGATTTAATTGCTTTTCAGAGAATGATAAACAGTACCAAGTTAACTGAGTGGCAGCATGGATTATTTTTCACAAGAAAAGGATGCATTGTCCTAGAGGATTTTCATTGTTAAGATCAATGTTGGCAAAAGTTCTAATTTTCTTCCCCATAGTTAAATAGAAATTGCCAACTTACTTCCAGCATTGACAAAAACAATCTCTCTGTCTCTTTGGCTACAGCATATAACATTTACTGGCAATTTAAAACCTGTAAATGCATTATACACTGTAGCTGTATAAGGGCAGTTTTCATCAGCAGCCATGTCAAGGAATCATTTACCTGCTTGCAGCCACATTTTTCAGAATTTTGCTGACCCACTGCTGACAGGTTGGGTGATCCCTAGTGTCCGTCAAAGATGTAATCTAACCCCAGTTAGATACCTTAGCAAAGCAGCACCAATATCTTCGTTCTGGGTCCCAAAGGGACTCAGCAAATTACTGGAAATGTGTTTTGCTTTCTCTTCAAACTGATTGGCAATTTTTTTAACAGGCTAATCGTGACACATACTCAAATCTTGGTACACAGAGGGAGCCCCAGAACGAGGATTTTGTCGTTGTTTCAGAGACAGACTTAATCAGAGGTTTAGTTTCATCCATGGTGCTGGCTAGGTGATCCCAGGTTACAAAAAGTGGATAAAAGACTGAAAATCAGAGCACTCATAGTGCTAACATGATCTGAAGGCCCTTAAGAGTTGATGGTGCTTGGGACATACAGCACTTTTATTTTGTTTCTGTGTCTACAGTTGATCCTTCATTAAGCAGCCATCCTCCGGGTACTGGCAAGTGGCCACTTAATGCAGGGGCGGATCCAGGATTTTTTTTAGGAGGGGGTGCACTCGTCTCTAGCTCTATTTCAACACCAATAAACCACTTGGTTTGTTTCTTTTTTTCGCAGAATACCAGTTGTATTAGAAAACCGCAGGTCATCTCGGGGGGGGGGGGGGGGGCACCCC